AAGGCCTTGCAGAGACATCTGGACCAACTGGAGAGCTGGGTGATCACCAGCCACATGAAATTTAATGAGAGCAATTGCCAGGTCCTGCACTTGTGACTGGGCAACCCTTGCTATACATACAGACTGGGTGATGAGATGCCGGAGAGCAGCCCTGCAGAGAGGGATCTGGGGGTTATGGTTGATATCAAGCTGAATATGAACCAGCAGTATGCCCTGGCAGCCAGAAGGGCCAACTGTATCCTGGGGTGCATCAAGCATTGCTAGTCAGTTGAGGGAAGTTATTGTCCTGCTCCACTCTGCACTGGTGTGGCCTCACCTTGAGTACTGTGTCCAGTTCTGGGCACCACAGTACAAAAAGGACATGAAACTGTTAGAGAGTGTCCAGAGGAGGGCTACAAAGGTGGTGAAGGGCCTAGAGGGGAAGACATATGAGGAATGACTGAGGTCACTTGTCTTGTTCAGCCTGGAAAAGAGGAAGCTGAGGGGAGACCTCATCATGGTCTACAGCTTCCTTACAAGGGGGAGTGGAGGGACAGGCAATGATCTATTCTCTAGTGATCAGCAATGTGACCATTCTCTTTAGTGACCAGCGATAGGACCCGTGGGAATGGTGTCAAGCTGTGACAGGGGAAGTTCAGGCGGAACATCAGGAAGAGGTTCTTCACTAAAAGGGTTGTCACGCACTGGAACAGGCTCCCCAGTCACTGCACCAAGCCTGTCAGAGTTTAAGAAACATTTGGATTGTGCACTTAGTCACATGGTCTGAATTTTTGGGTAGACCTGTGTGCTGCCAGGAGTTGGATTCGATGATCCTTGTGGGTCCCTTCCAACTCAGCATATTCTATGATTCTAAGGCAGGCAGGCACACATAGTACTGAGTTGTGAAAAATCTCTTGTTTTTTCCTTTTTAGAAGCAGGATGGCAGGCATCTCCAGCTGAAAAGTTGTCCAGACTAGATTCTGTCTACTTTGTGCTCAAGAAGAACGGAAACGACACAGGAGTTATTTTATGCTTAAAAGAACCTCAGAGAAGTAAAGAAAAAAAATCCTGATAGAAACTGTCATCTATAATAGCAATGAGAAGCAGTCCTGAGGAGCCTCATTTATGTAAGCAGCAGCCTCTGTGTGAGTGAGACTCAAGCCCTATATCTCCAGATATTTTAATTTTGACAGGTCTCTCAAAGATATGCCTATGTATATCTATATGAAGAGGCTCCAGGAGAGCCTTCCAATCTGGGTACAGGATTTGCCACTGCTAAACCAGACCCCTGCTGTTCAAGGTGTTGTCACTGCTCAGAGCTCTTACAAAAGTGTTACCAATAGTCATAGTCTGGATGACTTCACAAAAAATGCCATCTTTATCCTCTTCTGAATGATGGCCACTTACTACTGTTTGCTATTAGCAAGACTTGTTTGGAATCCATATTAAGTAATAGATGAAGACATTCTTCCTGAAATTTGGCTTCTTGGTCTTCTGAATTTCTGATAGTGTGGCCTTTCTCATAAAAGGTGTAAACAAATGGCAAACAAGGTGTTGATTAATATCTTCCTGAGTGACACCCCCCTTTTTATTACAGGCACTTTCCTCCTCTGATTGAACTACCTTGACTTGCCTAACTATTTGCAGTCCTCAAAATGGCTACATTTTGTTGCCTGTTGAAAGTTTCTAACTATAGTTAACCCAGTTTATTGGGGTATTGTTCGATTTAATTGAAGTTTGTAATACACTTTGAGATCCTCACATGAAGTGTGAAGTGTAATCACAAGTGCAAAATAGAATTGTTTATAATTCATAATGTGGTAGCAGCCAGGCCAACGGGGGAAAGTTGAAAGGAAATTCAAAATGTATCCTTTGCCCTTTGAAGTTTGACTGCGACTTGGCACATGCATCAAAGAGGTGACTGGTTTCCTTTAGGGTTTAAGTCTCTGCTGAAAAAGATCAAATCAAAAGCAATCTGAGGTTCCCAAATAGATTTATATTAAAAATCAACAATGAAGGCCCCAAAAAAAGCATACTGATGGCTCTTGAAACACTTGCAAAATGAGTGCAGCTCATTGAAGGGCAGACTGTGATAATCCCTGCTTTGATTAGTAGCTTATATCATGAGTAGTCCCATTCAATTCAGTACAGCTACTTATGGAATAAAGAGCTGTTCAGTGAAAAACAGCCCAACCTTATCCTTACAGTGCCATACATCACGCAGAGAGTGGGATACCTGCCCTGCCTTGTGCCAAGCAGCCATCAGACCTCCACAGATCCTTTCAGGCAGCAGAAACAAGGGCATCAGCAGCTGCCCCGAGGACTTTCACAGGCTGTCAGTATTGTAGAGGTATGGTTCCTGGCAGTATCTCATAACTTTATGTGATTCGAAAGGCTGTAAAGATTTTCTGCTGTGTTCTTTCATGCTGATTCATTTTTTGCCCTTGGGGTGAAATAATTTGGTGATGCAAGTACAATAATTGAGGAACCTTAATGGCTTACTGAGGTGGCTGTAGAACTTGTGTGTACCCAATAGCATGAAAAATTTTCCTTAATGGTACATAGCCAGGACACACATGCAGCATGTATTTAGATTTCATGATAAAATGTTATTCTTCTATACAGCACCTCGATCACTGTGTCTAATCACAGGGTTTATAGTATAACCAGCACACTAAGGGCTCAATTCAATTAAAAATGTTCTGCAGAAGTCCCTTTTTCATTGTTTTCCCAGCTTTGTGCAGGCTTCTGCAGAGAAGATATGATTTATTATTATTATTTTTTTTAATAAGATGAACCCTAGGATTCCTTCTGTTGTGAGTCATCTTCTTCCTTTTTTTTCAATACATTTTGTCACATTGTTAGTACCTTAGGGGATGCTGTTGTAAAACTAACATTTGCAAAAGTCATCTTTTGCTTCTTCATTAGTTTGAAAATCTTTGGAACACAGTGGATGTTGATGCTGGTGGGTGGCTGAAATATCAGGACTTTTTGAGAAAGTTCAGCTCAGAACTCGTAACAATGCCATCAAGCACTCTCAGCGTTCCTAGTCTTGCAACTTCTACCAAGCCAGCTACCCATGCCATGCAGGAAGCACAAGTGTCTTCTCAGCCTGAGTGTCCCAATACATTATCTCCCCTAGTAGGGCAAAAGAGTGTAAGTGTGGTTGTTTTATGAGTTTTCTTTTTTTTTTTTTCTCTGTGCATAGGCTGAAAATAATACCTGTGGGACTCAGTGAAGGTGTTTCTATTGATTGCCAAGGAAATCAGGCATGAAAATCTGCTAATAAGCAAATGAAGTTATTTGTAAAATATTTGCTTTACAATGACAAAAATCGGGTCAAATTGTAACTCCACTGAAGTCAACTCATATATATCAATTTATACCAGTAATATTCCCTGCTGTTACCTTCGGCACATCCATCAGAGCTGTATGGCAAATAAAATTTCTATTCTTAAGCACAATCACATTTCTCAGAACAAAGTAAACAAAGGCTCAACAGCTGAAAATGCAACATAAAAAATGTAGATGGTCATCTGAGAAGGCTAGGCAGGATTGGAAGTTACAGTTTTCTACCTGGTGTTTACATTCTGCTGGTCTTGTTCTGCTTTTTGGTGGATGCCAAATTACAGCTGTTACAGCTGTTAATGGATGTTAGTCTTACTGGTAGACTTAATCATAAGACCTCAAAGAGAGATAAGAGAAGTGGATTAGGAAGGCAGTAGTCTTGCTTTGGCATTCCTATCTATGCTTAATGTCAATAATGTCAATATGCTTAATGTCAATAATAATCTCCCCCCCCTCCCCTCCCCAGCTTCCATTCTGGCCTCTTATGCTAGTGACAGGACTGACAGACAGGTTGGAAACAAATACTGGCAGAAATGTTCAATATCCCCCTTTGTGGATCTACATGCACCTATTCCATGTTCTTTGGTTATAATCAAGCCTACAGAAGAAAAATAAAATATTTAGAATTATTCAGTGCCTGGAACATGCTTGGATTTTCTAACTAGTTCTACATGGAGATGTTTAGCTACTGAAAAAGAAATGACAGATTGATTAAATTAAAGATGCAAACAACTTGTCACAGCTGGTAAATCTAAACACTGGCCCATTGCTAGCTCAATTATTGCAATAACTGTAGGTTCTTTCTTGAAAAGCCCAGACAATTAGCTGTGTGTGTCCTTCATGCTTTGATCCAGTTCTCAGAGAAAGCACTGGAAAATTTCTCCTTGCTGACTGTGAATGCTAGATCGGATGGTGTAAGACAACAGGAAGGGAATGTAAGTCTCCCAGAACTCATAGTGGTTGGACAGACCCCAGCCAGCCTGATGTTCATCCATCAGCATTCATCCCTGCAGCATTTGCTGCATGGGAATGTGCTCGAGTCCTCAGACAGTCTGCAGTAGAGAAACCCCTGAGGGAGCACTGGGAAGTCTCACTAAATATGAGATTATTTGTTGGACCTAGAAGCATAACTATGGCTTGTACAACCATAATAGAGAAGTAGGCTAGGGCTTTACTTCCAGCTCACCCACAGTACTCCTGAGGCAGCAGTCAAAAAGACAGCAAACAATTCGATCCTCTCACATTATTCTTTCTGTGGCTCTGCACATGAGCACTGTAGAACTGACTCTTCTAGTAACAAATCAAAGTACTGTTACTGCATTATTCAGTGACTTTGCATTGATTTGTTTATTCTAAGGTGGTATTACATGTCTTTTTTAAACACAGGATCTGTTCTTTAATAAGAAACTGTTTGGAGAAATTATTAAAGATTCACAAGTAAAGTAAATAAAATAATGACTAAAAAAAAAAAAAGTGGTCAAGGCCCATTAAATGAATAGCGTCATTCTGACACTAAGAATTTTCTAACATGCTGACACAATTCAAAACAGACTTAAAATGGTTTGGGTGATACGTTAGTTTTAAGTCTGGAAAGCCAGAAACTGGATTTGTCATCTGGTGTTTTCTCTACACAACCAGTAAAACTTGGATGAAAATAATACCATTATCTCTTGCTTTTAGACACCAGCGTCCAGCCATCCTCAGACAGCAACGGCATGTTCTACACCTGTCCTTAATTGCGAAACAATAGAAAATTAGATAAGAAAGGATATCCAACGTTCCTGGAGAAGCATAATTAAACTGTGCAAAGAGAAGGATGTCGGCAAGCTAGGAGAAATCCCAGTGTCAGACTTCCTAGGTTTGTTACCATCTGAAAAGTGCTCTATTAATTCTCCGATGTGTTCTGTTTTCCTTCTGATGTCCTGGCCATTGGAACATTTAGTCTTTAGTCAGCTGGCATCCACTGTGTGATTGCTCCAGGTACCACCCTGTTACTGCAGAGCAGAACAGCTTACTGTACACTTGGATGCAAAAAGTTCATGTTCCTCTTCAGAATTATTTACTGTTTAGAAAAAGAGAACATGGCTATGCTTGTTGATACTTTTGGTTTGTATACAAGCTATCTCATCACCTTCCCAGTACACCACCCTTAGCATGCCTGGTGATAACTGAACAGCTTCATCAATCTTTTACTTGTGATCTTGTATTTGCTTCTGGCTGCTCTGGTCTTGATGGGTGAATGCCTGCTGATTTCAAGGACCTTGGATTTTACTCTTAGACAAGATGAGCTATGCTGCTCTTCTGTTGTGTTCTCTTCTACACAGAATTCCCAGTGCTTTTCTTAGGACATTTGCATGTGTGGTAAGACAATGCACACCTGTGTAATTAGATATAAACTCCTCAGTATAAGAACGTTAGCTTATCAGAATGTTTATTACAGTTAGCACCAAGGCATATTTCTTGTGCATTTAAAATCAAAGTACCATGCTATCAGTCCCCTGAAGCCCTGTTAAATGTGAACTGCTACCCCTATAAGTTTAGGCATATGTATATACCTGCATCTAGCAATAGCTGCATAATACATTTATGCAGCAGTCACTGAAACTGAGCTTGTCAACATTATTCCTGCTAAAACGTGTACAGTACAATGACTGTCTATTTTTATGAATGACAAAATGAATATTCTTTCTGCATTTCTGTATTATTTCAGATATAGCAGAGAAGTTCCACTGGGGTTTAAGTAAAGAGGAAATTAACCAAATAACAACAAAATATGATTTCAAGAAAAATGGAAAATTTGCATACTGTGACTTCCTTCAGAGTTGTATCTTGTTGTTAAAACCACAGAAAAGCTCACTGCTACAAAGGGTGATTATACAGAAGCCACAAAAACCGGTACAAACAAAGCATATAAAAATCAAAATTACTTTTTTTTTTTTTTTTCTTCTGTAGTGACATAGTATTCTAGCATTCTCTTATATTAATTGTTATTTGGTATCTCCTTCAGCTGGAAGATTTAACTCCCTGTGCTGCCTTGTACCCAAGTTTTATGGTAAATTGGTTACATTTGCTAAAATTTGGATAATAATTACTAGTGGAAAACATTTAAGAGCTTTTGCTGAACTAAATAAAAATCAAGTTAGAAATAAAATGTGCAGTGAATGTGTGTCAGGAGGGCCCAGTCTGGAGCTACTGACTGTAGCTCCAGACTGACTGGGGCTGTGCTCCTGCCCCATGCCCAGACCTGTAAGACAAGTCCAGAGGAAGATCTCACTTGCACTGCTGTTAATGGTCACTGAGAACGTCTTGTAGCCAGGACTGATCAGCCACATTGTGCCCTTGCAGCTCTCCCTGTCACACATAGCAATTCCCCAAGCTGCAATGAATGACGGTTACCCACAGGCTGTTCCCCTTTGCCCATAGTACCACTCAAAGGCAGAAAAGATTGGAAGAAATGTAGAATACTGGCTGTAGTGGCCCAGAAAGGAAGTCATCAGTAATAGCGTCACAACCAAGTTCTGTAGTAGGAACAGTGCCAAATTCCAAATCTGCTCATTCAGCAAGCCTGCTACATTTTTAGGCTGTTTTTTTACTGTGCCTAATTAGTTTAGACATGGTTAGTAGCAGCATTTTGTAGAGAAATTACATTACTGTATAGTTTTCAGATGTGGAACAAGCAGATTGCTACCAAGGTATGCTACCAAAGTATCATTAGGAATTATCAAGAATTCACTACCAGTAGGGAGAGTAAGGCAAAACTAGTAAGTTTTGCATCGAAGAACCTCATTATCTTATATAAGGTTTCATTTATATACAAATCTGATGCAGTAAAATTCTATCCCAGTATTCTGGAGTGGATAAAGCAGTCATTTTTAAGTCTGTATGTAGTTGTCCTGAATCCTTTTTATTTTATTTATTCTGTTTAGAAAATATAATGAAGGTCCCAGCCCATGTTCCGAGAATCATTATATAATGTAATATTTAAAATGAAATTTCCTCATAGATTGTTTACCCCATTCCACCTAATAACTATACAGATAAATATCAAAAGGAATAATAATAATAATAAAAAAAAAAAACAACCAACAAATAAAATCTTTTTTATTTTATTTTTGTTGCTTTCTCAAAAGCCTGAGAGAATCGATGTCCTAGGGCTTCATCCAGGCTCTGAGCTATGAAAATAACCCAAGCTGCATTCACTGTAAAGAGCTCTTTCCCTCCCTTCAACCCACAAGAGTGCACAGTGTTTTGGGTTGGAAATTGCATTATTCATGTATCCAAACATTCCTCAGCTACATATTCTGAAGGAGGAATACATCAAGAGCACAGGACAATGGTGTAGCCGACCACTAGGCCTCTTAAAACACATATAGGTGCAGCATGGTGCCCTTGTCCATAAAGCAGTTGTATAAAGTCCACTGTACATTTCCTTCACAATGAGACATTTGTCAGAAGACTAGCTCACGTGCAGCTGGCACAAATGTGGCATAATTGGCTTACCCAATTAAAATAAAAATATCAGCAAGGCATTGGGAAGAAGTTGAGCAGGACCTGTAGGAAAATAAAAGGGTAATAGAGCACATCTAGATCCCAAAGGTGGCTTGAGGCTTGCTGACTTTTCTCAAAGTCTCTTACTCATGGTAATACTGGAGTATTAATGCTTTGTACAAATGGAATGAATTTCACCATAAGGAGTAATTCTGCAGTTCACATGTGTTCAGGGTACAACAACATAAGGAGTTTAGCCAGGCCAAAACAACAAAAGACACAATTTCCCAAGTAAAATTTACACTATCTTCCAGCTGTTGAACTACAGAGGTGTTAAAAAACAGATTACAAGGTGTTTTAGGTACTGAGGAAAATGTACATGGAGAATTGTTTTTTTTAAATACCATACTGCTTCCATAGCTGGATTATGAATTCAGTCATTTTAAAGAAGAAGAAAAAAAAAATAATAACACTGAAAAATGAACACTGCAGGCAATTAAAAATTACTGAAGAAGGGAGTTGAAACAAGGACAAGCACAATACATGTAAAAACACTGAGATCTGAGAAGTAACACTGACTTCAGAATCAGTTTCAAATAATAAAAAGTTAGGGCGTTGACAGTGATTAAGTAAATATACCATCTGCGCTTTCCAAGAATATTAAAATGCTATAGGTTAAAGTTATCTTGTGTAAACAGTATCTTGCAATAATATGTAAACAACTACTTGACAACCAGTTGCCGATTAAGTCAGTGTTACTTTCCAGTACCTTTTCATTCTGCGTTATAGTGTGCCCAGTTGTGTCCATGATGTTAGTAAATGATCGTATTTCTCACCCAACTTTGTTAGATGAGTCCTGGACCACAAACCATGTCATTTTGCAGTCCAATTATGAGAATTCAGCCCCAGATCTTGCACTGCTGGAGACCAATGAAGCGAACTTTTAAATCCTATGATGAAAGTCGTACTGGACTGTTAAATATTGCAGATTTCAGACAAGTAAGTTGCATTTAGCAGGAAATAGTCAGAAAAATTACAGTAGTTTAATCTGAGCTTCCTGACAGATTTTTCTGAAGAATGGTCCTGAACTAGGATATATAAACTCATCCTAGCTTCTCTATAGCCTTTGCTCTGACCTTTGCTCATGGTAATCGGTCTCCACATGGTTATACTTTCTGGAGGTCTGGGATCTTGTTGGGATCCTGCTATAACAGCATACATCAAATAGAGAAAATCTTAGTCCCCATACAAACTTTAAATACATAGTTTTCACAAATGCATGGTAAGGGAATTGAAGTGTTGGCTGCATTGAATGAGTTCCTTATGGTAGGTCTCCCTGTAGTCACTGCTACAGCTGCAGGATCCTGTTGCCCTTCAACTGGGGTGTTCCCTTCTGAATGTGGAATGGGCCTAAGTACTCCCCAACTGAGAGTCCCTTGTACTGGTTTCTCTCTTCACTTTTCTGTGTGCAGCATAATTTTGTACCAGGTGAGGGATCCATATCCTCTACAAATATTTTGGTACCTTGTATCCCCTCAAATAGCAAATATACACCTGTGTATTCTAGATATATAGAGTCTGGAATCAGGAGTTGCTTCTTCATGTAGCTCACAGAGAGTTTGACTTTTGCTTAGCTTAATCTTTAAACTTAATCCTTAATTAATTTAAAAATATTTGACATTGTTTTTACTAGGAATAATAATCACTATCTGTTCTAGAGGCGTTCTGAATATATGTTACTCAGTTGCAAGAAAATAATACAGTGTGTCTCTAAACCCATTTAATGCTGCATGGGGACATGCATGGGACACCCCTTCCTATCACTACTGCTTTGAAGAACTGATAAACTGGTAGATGGGATGCTCCATCATAGTAAGCAAATGCCTAAATGCAAAAAGCAGTCATGGGGTGTGCTTCTGAAGCTCCCTTTTCCCTGCAGCTGCAGGAAGCCAGCTTGCTGCCTAGCATTTCTAAGAACCAGTCTAAAACCCTTTAGATCATACCAGTCACAGAATGGCTCTTTTAAACCTTAACTTATTTAGTATTACTGGGAACATGATATCTTCTGGCACTGCCACGTAGCTGAAACCCTGCTGCCCCTGCATGAAGGCCAGGGGAAAAACAAGCATCAGTGTGGCTGTATCATCTTTGTGCCTGAGGCTCCCTGGCTGTCATTGCAGCTTTCTGCCTGCTTGGGTACTGCCTCAGCAGACAAAACTTAGGGGAGAGGGAGCGAAGATCAGGCCTGTTACATTTGATTTTAATTTGTCATACTCCTCTAGGACACGTGATGATTATTTTTCCTAGTTAAAACTATGTCAGCAGCTTTCAAATCAAGCTTCCCTAACATGACCTAAGCTAAGCAAAAATAAATAAAAAGTTGAATAAAATCTAGCGCCTCATGGATTTAGATCAAGAAGCCATCCCCAATTCCAGAATACTACTGCAAAGGTGTTAATCGACCATTTAACAAGATAGAAAGTGATCTGTGGAGGTATAGATCCCTTTGTCTCCTAGGTAACTTAATTTACTGAAACGGAGAAATTAGCTCTCTACTAACTTCAGTAATGCCGCTGTTTATGGCTGTACTGTTTGCACAGGGCTATTACTGATTTCAGATGTTGAGTTGTTAGGGGGGAAAGATGTAGAATAATCTGAATTTTCCAGAAAACTAATGAAAACTAATGATAACTGGCATGGCCCACAAAGATTAATGATGGGATCCTCAGAAATCAGTCAATTATTTTCTTTCATGTTGGGGCATTACTGGGGTATTACTATTATATAATAATAATATAAAATGCCCCATATAATATACATTATTATTGTATAAACAGCTGAAGTACTGTAAAAGGCACTTTGTGATTTTTTTAGCATTAGGTGAACCAGATCCTGTTCAAATTGGGTTCTCAGTGAAGTGTTCAGAAAGTATGCCTATAGGCCAAGCATTTGTCCTGTGAAAATTAAAAACATTGAGTACTGCATGAGCATTATTACTTGCTTTGGGATTTGCACAGTTTGAGTGACTGCATTACTCCTTCTGTTTGTCTGGATGTAAAGGATAGAAAGGAAGATACTCCACCTCTTCATCCCATCTCCTGATAGTACTGAAAGCCTTCTAAACATGCATTTCTTGTAAATCAGTTTCTACACACATTGATGCTACCCATTTCCCAAATCTCCCCCTAAGGCAAGTGCTATTTGGGATAGAAGTCATAACCCCATGTGTGTGCAGTTTTTCAGAAATGTATTCTATGGAGTCATTACTGACATGGGAAGAACAGGAGATAATAAAGAGGATTTGATTTTCTAAGATTCTCAGAAGCCTAAGATAAAGTGGAGCTGAATCACAAAGTTATTTTGTAAAGAAATTTTAACAAGAAAAATTAATGTTTTTACTTCATCATCATCCAGGTGCTGGAATAAATTTTAAAGTTGTTTCTGTCTTTTGTAGGTTCTTCATGAGTACAAAATCAACCTAAGTGAAGAGGAGTTATTTAATATTTTGGAATATTATGATAAAGCCCTTTCTTCAAAAATAGCATATAAAGATTTTCTCCGGGCGTTCTTACAGTAGGATTTGGTCAAGTGCAAGAAACTGTAGATACAGATAGTGATGGATTTATAATTTCAAATTTCAAACTAATAAATTGAGTATAGCTATTTATTTATTTATTTATTGTAACTATTCATTAGAGAGCTCAAAATACTTTAAAATTCTGACAGAGTGGTCCTGTGTTGTGGATTAAATCTACATAGTGAAGGAATTAATTCTGCATAATCCATTTATCAAAAAAGAAAGAGGCAACAATTAACATTGTCAAAATAACACTTCCTAAAGACATCTCCAAAAGCGACTCATTTAAGAAAATTCTGTATTTTTAATTTTACACATTTTATTAATGACATACTCTAATTTCAGTAAAAAGGTTTACAAGGCATCCTATTCAATTTCCTCAACTGTAATTTTCCAAACATGTTACTTTTAATATATTAGCCTTCATTACTCAGAGTCATCCTATTTCTCAGTGCATCTTTTCTGTTTACTTACAGTGATGTATTTGTATTTTCAATATGGAATGACTATGAAATCTGAGATGATGCCAGCGGTGTGACAAAACCACACCTTTCTGTTTTAAAAACTGTTCTACATCCTTCAGCAGTTTAGGAAGGAACCTACTTTACCAATGAACATTGACTTCTTAACAGCAGATAGATTCCCAGTGTTAGACATGAGGTTATTTTTTTTAAGGATTATATATATATATAAATTTATATATATACAAATTAAATAGTAAACTGCAAGTAAGCCCTCTGGTTAGATTTTCCAGTTCTAGAAAGTTCTGTATGTGTATCTTGTCAGATACTTAGATCTTGGGAAGGAAATTAAAAGATAATCGTTTTGTCCATGGAACTTCTGTGATAATTAAAGGATGTATGATCATCTGAGCTTGCTTACTGGGATTATATCAATAACTAAATGCTTACCTGCTCTGAAGAATTCTTAGATAAATATGTCTCTGTTGGGTTCCTGAATTAGTTTTCACTGGTACACTGAAGAGCTCTGTCCTCGTCACCTGTACGTATTTTGTATCTTTCTTTCTCCTAAGTAAAATGTAAAAATAAGTTTAAAAAAAATAATAATAAAAGAGAGAGCAAGTCATGTGTGTGAAGTCTCTGGAATGAGACTGGAGAGAGGAACATAATCCTGATTTTCTTATTATTTCTAGTGAATATATGAACCATTGCCACAAATCTGAAAGATTCACAGTGTAGACCAACTTAATGCCTCTTTTTCAGGGGAAATGTTTCATCATATTTGGAGATTTTCAGGAGATTTACAGAAAATTTTGTTTAAAAAGTACTTGGGGATGTTTCAAATTGGACCTGGAGATGTGTAATGTAGATATTCTATATAGTTTCTCATATAGATTCTAGGATTTCTGTAATTTCTAATTTACTATAAAATAAATACATTTGGAATTGGATGTATTTGAAATAGTAACAAAAAGAACATTTGCTTTTTCAAAAAAAAAATTCCATCAGTTTTTCCAAAATTGATGGCTATCTGTAAATCTCTGAAGTTAATGCTTAGATACTGGATTAAGGGAGGGGACTGTGACTAGAGTTATTTAAGGATGTTCTCCCAATACAAAAATTCCTAGTTCCATTACTAGAAAACAGTACATTTTAAGAATACAACACCTATGTCAGCAAGTGACTGAAAGGGTCTCGGTGCAGTTGCTGGAACCAGTAGGCACCTGTGGCATAAGTGTTCATACTGGGCCTCTCTGGGAGGTCCTGTGTTGGCATCAGCCAGCCATATATGGAAGTCCCCCATGCCCAAGGGCATCTCAGGCTACAGCAGGTAATGTGTTTCAGCAACTGTGCTGAACCCAAATGGGGTTCAGCTTAGTCCCACTGAAGAACCAGTTAGTCTATTAAAAAAAAAAAATAAATTATTATTGTACCTTCCAAGAATCTGCAAACTGCTCTCTTCCTTACTGGCAACTTCTTCTCCTGACCCTAATCAGGTACAACACGTCTGATCTAATTTCTGTTATTATTTCATACAGTTTTTGCACATAATTAATTTTTCATACTCATTAAAGAATTAATTGCTATTTGGAACACCTAAAATTGTAACACAAATACTACAATAATTATTTTTAAATAGTGGATTTCACTGAACAGATCTAACCACTGTGAAAAAAAAGTAAATAAATGATTGTTAGGTGGTTGTGTTTATGTGTGTGTGTGGTATTTGGTGGTTTTGTTGTTGTTGTTGTTTGTTTGTTTGTTTGTTTGTTTGTTTCCAAATACTCCCATGAAGCCAGGGATAGAAGAATGGGAGCTTGTTTAATCACATTAAAATAGATTTTGCTGAGTGTCTTTGCTTACTACTGTGCAGATTAACCGAAACAATGAGCCTCAGGGCCCCTCACAGAGGATGTTTCCTGACACAAATGGGGAACCTGTCTCAAAAACCAGCTGAGACCGACCTTCTTGTTTGGACAAGAGCCAAGGAGCAGCTAGGTCTGTACAAAGGCAGGGGGTCAATGGCAGGGGGTGATGAAGAAGAGTTAACAACCTTCATCCCCACAACCCTCTCCCCCGCCCCCCCCGATGATCATGACCAGAAGGCACTGCGCAAGTGCAGACAGAAGGAGTTTATGGAAATGACTTCTTGGAGCTAATTTCAACACGAAGCGGGGATAGGTCATGCATATGTACCGGCATATTGGGAAACTTCATGCATATGTAGCTCTTTACTGCATATAACCAAAGCAAGTTGCCATGTTAGGGCAGGCATGCCTTTGGGAGCTATCCTGCATGTGCCCGGTGAAGAAATAAACCACATACCTACTTTATAACTGATTTGCTTTGAGTTGTAGAGTTCTTCCACAAATCATCCACACCTCCTGTTTGATAATTGGGTCCAATTGTGTACCAAATATAGTGAGGCATCCATCCCCACACTGCTTTCTGGCATGGAGTGCAATTGCAAAAGGGTGTAGGCGTTGTGTCCCTTGCTCCACCATCTTCAAGATACCCATAATCTTCAGGAGACATGCAGTGGCAAGGGGCATCCCTGGGTTTCTTGACACATCATGCTAGAGGATTTTTCATTAGTTCCACTGGCAGGCGTATCAAACCCAACAACTACAAGATTGTTTAAGAACAATCTTTTTGCTGTACAAACAAATCAAATCATGCTGTGTTTTTTTAGTGAGTTCCTAAAGGCAAGGCTGGCACTTGCCAACTGTTTATCCAGCCTCAAAAAGGAAAAAGAAAAAAAAATCAGCTGCCAGTGTTTCGAAATAACTGAGGTAATTTTTCATATTACAATCACAAACTGCTGGCTGGATAAACTTTGTAACAGAAGAGAGCTTTTATTGCAGCCGTTCCCTACAAACAGTGGTCAGCCATCCAGTGGCGGCAGGCTGGCAGACATCCATTTCTTTCCACTAAGAGGTAGATAATGTCAGTGGAATTGAGCATAATCCCTCAATAATGGTCTCCCGTTGCTACACGTAATCTCCAAGGCAGTTATGAAAATAAAAACATCAATGCAAAGAGAGGAAATGTCATTGCTGAGCAGAGGACACTGATCCCTGCTTTCTGCTGCCCTAGGACCAGCTGCATGGGATAGGGGATAGCAGGCAGCCCGACTGCCTTCCTCTCACAGGGTGTGGAGTAGCATCTGATCCTTGGGAAGGGCTGAAGCACAGAAATTAGGGTCCCTGGGGGTAGTTCATCTGATCACCATAACCTGCTCACCCCTACCAGCCTCTCTGCTCCACCTCAGTATTGCTTGCTGCTTTGTCCCCAAAATGGCACCGTGACTGCCTGGTTGTCTCCTCAGTGCTGGAGGCAGGGGTTTTACTGAGAAAGCAGGTCCTTTGGCAGTGTTTTAACAGCACTTCATGTTTCATTTTCTTCACTCCAGCACAAAAAGAAAAAAGCAAAGGAGACTGAAGTCACTGCTGCATCTGCCACCACCGAGGAGCGTTGTGTCCCTGCCAGAGCTCCCATGACTGCCCAGGAAACCCACTCACAGGCAAGAAACAGCCACAGAGAGAGGTGCAGAGGTGGAGGCCTCCCATCACCCTCATGGCTGGTACCACCCTGCCTGAGCCCATACAACAAGAGACCTTACACGAGCCAAACACCCTGGCATTTCCAGACAATTAAAATGCAAACAAAAAGTGAATTTTGTGTCTAATTAGACTATGAAAGGGGAGGCAGGTAATGCTGTTCACTGCATCTTTCCTCTTGTATTTTTCTTGTCCAAAAGACCTTGCAAATACAGGTGCTCAGCACCAACGCACGCTGCTCATTAGCATGTACCCCATTAGCATGTGGCCCCCTGCCCCAAAGCCCACTGGCTGCCCCTGCCAAGCAGCCAGCCTGGTCTGCAGGCAGCAGATGCTCAGGGGAGACCTTTCTGAGCAGGGCAGGGCTACAAGGCACAAGAGATGTCTGCTAGAAGCACAAGCAAGTAGGAAAAGGTAACTGAGAGATGGAAATCAGTTAAAGGAGGGAAGGAAGAGGTTCATAGTCTCTATAGCAGCTATTTCTATGCTAGGGATTGGCATGGAGCCTGCAAGACCGGAAATGTCACTTCTCTAAGTAGGGAAGGGGAAAGGGAAGGCTGAGGCTAGTCAAAGGGACAGAAGAAGAGAAAGGGAAGAATATATGTCCCTTCTTCTACATCAGCAACTGACATGCAACCTGTAAGGCTAGAAAAAGAGCATGCTTTAGGGAAGAAGAAAAAAAAAAAACCCTTCTTGAGAATGCAATCATTTCATTTTTTTCATTTGTTTGATTAAGGCATGTGTGAAGTGCCTATATGCCTATATCTCTGTGCAATTACTGTTTTTATTGGGATGATATACAGCAGGTCATGAGCAGTAAGGGATGCTCCAAACATGGCAAAATGAAAGCCAGATTAAAAAAAATCAATTTTCCAAAAATTAATTTTCTTCTCTTTTTGAATTTTTCTATACTAAAAGCTGTCATGCAATGGAAAGAGCATTATTACACCGTGAAAAGAGACATAAAAGTAATTTTGTACTATATCAATACTTAAAATATGCAAATATGATATCTTCACAAGGCCCCAAAATTATGCTTGGCATGAATTCTTAGCAACAATACAAATATCGTCATCTTCAAATAAGCAGGTATAATATGCTGCTCAAACAAATGTAAAAACAACCCCATCACAGCTCTGGGAGCATCAGATTTCATCTTTAATGTAGGTAGGTTTTAAGTAGGAAAGGGAAGAATGTCATCTTAACCATCAGATTTTACTGGGATGAGCCTTACTGGAGGAACATGGAGGAATATTTAAATGGACAGCAGACCTACCAGGATGTGTAAGTCAGAGTCATTATAAAAACACATTTCTGGGCCTGCCCATTAAGGGCTGATGACTCATCTTGGGGGAGATGACAGCTAAGTGCACAGAGGTGCTCCTGGACTGCTTGTTTTGGGGGTTTCAGGTGCAGCTCAGCCAGAGTGGGCTCTGCAAGGCTGTGGGAGTTCCCCATGTGTACAGGCACTGTGTGGGGCTGCAGGCACTCAGTACTGCACTGCAGCCACCTCTTTCCTCCTGCCCTGCTGAGCTGGGGAAGTTGAAAGTCGCAAAAGAGCTTAAACTGTATTTGTGGTCATGCTCCAGATTTTTTTTAACAAAGCAGCTATAGGACTTGCTCCTGCACAACCCTCCTGCATTGTAGGGTAAATGGTCTCCCACTGGTGTAGACACCAAGACATAACAGCAACACAGGGAAATCCTGTTTCTCATTGGAAACTCTTTGCCGTATTCATCTGGGCTTTGGTTTTGCAGCTGTCACTCAAGCAGGACATTCATGAGTCCAGCCTCAGATCTGCATGTAAAGGGAATGGGGATCTCCTTGGGTAGTGGGAAACAGTGATTGCCATCTTAGAAACACCTTCTGTGAGAAGTTTTAAAAGCAAGAAAACAGACTTTCTATTTCTTTTCACCACTAGAGGAGTGAATATCAACAGGACTTCCAACAATAAATGGCAGCAATGCTCCATCTGACATACACCAAAACCAGGAGTCATTTCTTGCCAACCTCTGTCTTCAAATGACTCCTCCTGGTAATTGTTATGCCTCAGTAATTTGAGTTGATATTTAAAAATTCTGTAATATGTGCCATCAGCTTGTTGCTAGCCCATAATTTTTGTTCTGCTTTGATCTAGTATTCTCAGGGTTGTCCCTGATGAGCCCCACAGTTGCTGGTGGCTCCTCCAGTCTTGTGTAGATGTTATCCCATCAGCTCTGAGGTGACGTTCAGTCAGAAACTTCACAACTGGCCCCATGGCCACAGGATTATACTCAGGCTGCAGTCCAATGTGCTTGAGCCTTACTTTAGCTACTGTCTGTCCTAATCCCTGAATATAGATTTGCTGTGACTAAAAATAAAGGGAGGAAATAGTGTGACACAGAAGTTTCATTGTGCTGCAGACACCCTTTTGGACCTGCTTTCAGTGTAAGTACATTTATGGGGCTTAATTCTCATCCCATTAAATCAACAAAGCACTGTGACTACCCTAATTTCAGTGGATTTATTCCAGTATATTAGATCAGCATAAGACCTAGGTGCTTTTCTTTTCTTTTCTTTATGGGGCGGGGGGAGGAGGGGAGGGGGTCGGGCGAGGGTGAGTGGGGGGCGGGTAGGGGATGGGGAGGGGAGGGAGGGGGGGGGGAGGGGTAGGGGGGGTGAGGGAGGTGGGGGAGGGGGGATCGGGAGGGTTCTTTTCTTTCTGTTCTTTCTTTCTTTTCTTTTCTTTCTTTCTTCTTTTCTTTTCTTCTTTTCTTTTCTCCTTTCCTTTCCTTTCCTTTCCTTTCCTTTCCTTTCCTTTCCTTTCCTTTCCTTTCCTTTCCTTTCCTTTCCTTTCCTTTCCTTTCCTTTCCTTTCCTTTCCTTTCCTTTCCTTTCCTTTCCTTTCCTTTCCTTTCCTTTCCTTTCCTTTCCTTTCCTTTCCTTTCCTTTCCTTTCCTTTCCTTTTCTTTTCTTTTCTTTTCTTGCTGCAGTCAGTTTTCATAAAAAGTAGCAGCTATTTCTGCTCACTCTAGAGTAAGACTGGAAGTTTGGTTTTGCCTGAGGAAGAATGCATCCTTCTCCACACACTATGCAGAATTCCCAGCTCACGTATTAGAATAGATGTTGAAACACTTCTAATTAACATTTTTAATTTGCATTTTAATTGCCTGCCAGAGTGTGGAATGACATGTCTGGGTAAAGAAGTGTTTTTGTTACTGCCACTGGTTTGCAGAGCCCCAGCAAGGCAGCAGGAGTAGAAGCACCATGGCCAGTGGTCATTTTGTAGATTTTTCCATAATTAATCCAGGGCCCGATTCAAAGCGCAATAAGTTAAGCCAAAAGGGTACAAATGGATGTTTGTTTATTTGTTTGTTTTTAATGAACGGGACTTCCATAATTAATTTTTGTTTGAAGATATACATCAGATCTTGATTTTAAAATTGGCAGTTGCAAACAATCAGCACAATCATTTGAAGGTTGTTTTGGTGAATAATTACAATCTTCATAAAGAAAACACTATATACATACATATAAATATATACATATATGTATTTTAAAAACAAAACAGTTGCTGGGATGCCTGGGCCACACCTAAGTCCTTTTTGAGAGCTCTTCTCCACACAGGAAGCCCACTATTGCCCATATTCCTGTGTTTAGAGATACAGCTTCCTATGTGGTCACAATGAAAGGTAGACTTCTTTGCTACACCTTACTTTCTAAACAAAATCTAGACTGCAGCGTACCTGTGACCCATTCTGTTCAGTATTCCCT